AAATTCCTGTCTTTACTGATGACGTTGTTACAGTTGCAAGGAGCCAATGGATGCAAGTAGAGCTGTTGTTCAAAGTGGCGAAATAAGGGGGAGGCCTTTGTCTACCCATGGACGTCTCTAGGCTGATGATGATGAAGTTAGCATGTACTGTATTAACATGTATAAAAAAGTTTATAAAATATTAATTCATTGTTGATCAATTTGTATAATCATTCATATGGTACAACTACATACCTATATTAACAAATTATATAATGTTTATAGAATTTTAAGAAATGATAAACTTGTAAGATGAAACGAAGTAAGTAGGAAAGTTACACTTACAGATTTACTAAGAGATAAGTCTCCCATCCCAGACTCTCCAAAGGCTAAAACACAATACTTTTGTTAAATAAACAGAATTCACTAGGTGCTTTTACATATCTTGATAAACTGTTCTTTAACTGAGAAATTATAAGTTTTAGATTACTTACCTTCAACTCTTTCTAAATCCAAAATGCCAGAAGACGACTCGCAGTTATTGATATTGGATCTATTCATTGATGCTTGAGTTGAGGCCAAGCTAAAATTAAAAAATAAATAAATAAAACGAATATTAATCACTATCATTAATTGTGTTAAATCTACGTACCGTTTCAAGTCTTCGTCCGTAAGCAGTAAACGTCTGGGCATGTTGAAAGATTTGTCCTCTGCTAGATGCATAAGTCTCTGTATTTTGTTAGGAGTTAATGGATTATCCATTTTTATAAAATACTTATTTACTTTCCAAACAATTTTATTTTTCAGCTGATCAACTTGAAGTACTTTCGTTACTTTTCAAATGTTTTGGACGTCATTATTTTTAAACGCTTCAATCAAACTTAATCGACATGACATCTAGTCTTTTGACACAAATTATTAGGTAGTGTTTTATGAAAAAAAAATCTCCTTTAAGAAATCTTTAGCCTTCATGAGATGGCAAATAAATTTTGTACGGGGCCCCGCTTAGGCACGCTAAGCCACTATTTTAAGGAATAAATTTTAATTAGTTCAATTTAACCAAGCCCAAACACCGTATAGCTTCTGTTAACTGATGAGGACCTTAACAACTATACTTTTTCGTCATCAGAACCTAATATTCAGAACTAATAATACTTCCGCTCCTTCCAAAGTTCTTATCAATACTAATTAATCAAGCCCAAACACATAGTGTTATTGCAAGTTGAGGAATACTTTTTCATCATCAGACCTTTAATGACAGTCCTATCTAAATCTGAATTTCTCATCAACACCAATTAATCAAGTCCAAACACCGTCCGTTACAAGTGAAACAAGTGAAACAAGTGAAACAAATGAATTTATTTCTGCAAATAGGCTACAAGGCAGCTCTTTTACACGTCAATTTTATCAAGCGAACGATGAGGTCGACATTTCCTAACTGACTACTCTGAGAAGAAATGCCGAAACAAACTCAGAGGTCTGTCTCTTTTAAAGTCCAGACAATATGTATAACAGATTATGTGTGAGAACCGTGCCAGTTCTTTCTGTAGTGGGCTTTTGAGGAAAGAACCACAACAGTTTGAGCGGACCCGTTCTGAAGGCAGTACGCATGTGTCGGTTTACAGTCAGCTCAATTAACAGGTGAGGCTGACTGATTCGACGAACAATACCAACCTAAAGAACATTTGCGTGGGTCGCACAAATACTCAAACTGTCAGAAAAAGGGTAATTAGAAAAGAAATGGTGAGGCAAAGTCTCGCACGGTCCTAGCACTAACAATTGTTAAATAAAAAGTAAATGTCAAGTTAGAACAACATATGAAAAACAATGTCACATTAAAACAATAATGTCAAATTGCATATAAAAAAAGAAATGTAACTATATGTTACAAACATGTCAACATGACCTGTGTGGACGTTACAGCAGCTTATTCCCAAGCCAGACTATCATCTAGGTAGTCTTTTATTTTATAATAAGCTTTACTATAAAATTTATCTTTAATGACATTTTTAAATTTATTTAGACTCAAATTTTGGATATGGCTGGGAATCTTATTGTAAAAGCGTATACTCTGACATCTAAACGAACCACTTATTTTCTTTAGTCTAGTAGTGGGAACAACATATTTGTCTTTATTTCTCGTGTTTATATTATGTATATCACTATGTTTTTTAAATAAACTTTTGTTTTTATGAGCATATACTAAATTTTCATAAATGTATTGAGAAGCAACCGTCATTATATTAATTTCTTTAAATAGTTCCCTGAGAGAGTACCTCGGACTAAGATTATAAATTGATCGAATGGCCCTCTTGTTGGCTTCATCATCAGATTGACTCCAGACCCTCATCAAATTACTGTGTAGCAAGTCAAGTATATATTGAAAAACATAACAGACGCATTACTTGAGTTACTTATAATTTTCGAAAGTTCCCTCAGGAAAATGACCTGGAGGAGGCCTGCTAAAAATGGGACCTAGGGAGTATAACCTTTCGAACAAAAAAAATATTTTGAAAATCGGTCCACAATGGGGACTAATGTTTTTTGCTCACCAGATGGCGCAAATGTAGGAGAGGGTACTTGTGTCCAATCAATGCAGTAGTCAAAATAAGAACAATGGTATGACACTAGCGTATTCTCTATTGGAAGAACCAGAGGCGCACTCTAGCGCTATCTAGTGAGCAAAAATTTTGTAGGCCCCATTCGCGGAGTAATTGATGAACAAATATAAAAAAAATCCATCTGAACATCGTACCTCCTCATTTTTTTGAAGATTGTAAATAATGAATTGAATATATTATTAACAGCGTGATTTGATACTCTATTACCAAGGAGTTTAGGGGAATTTATTACTCCCTTTTTAGTAGACAGTGGCGCCCAAAGAGTATAATAAGTATAGGGGAAGTGGCCACACTTATAATTCAAACTATTTTTTTTCATTATATTTTCATGATCCAGACTGGTCAATCAATTTAGGAAATGGTAAAAGAAACTTTAATGGGAGTCTGAAGATCCATGTTGCTCAAGTAATTTAAACTGTCAAACACCGAGTGGTCACCGGTGACCGCTCAGTGTTTGACAGTTTAAAGAAGTCAAGTTATATAATTATAATATAAACAGCATTGTTAAAATGTAAAAATAAATACACAAGTTATAGATATTAATGTTATTTATTTCTAAATAATAGGTACCTATAACATTCTATAATTACCCCATGGAATACTTAACTAGAACATTATTTAGCTTGAATTTGGACCTGTTAAAGGCAAAGCATTAATTTCTTTATTTAGCCTGATCTGTTCATTTATAGCTCTCCAAGCATCCTCTTTTTCCTTCTTAGTAATAGGTCTCTTCTTCTGCTTTGCAGCCACCATTTTCTTATAAATATCAATACACTCCATATCAACTTGATCAAGTTGTTTCTTCAGATTCAGTCTAATCATTTCTTGTTTACATAGCCCAATAAGGTGTTTCAGATTACGACAATTGTCTTTCTTTACTGCAGTCAGTTCTGTCTGGCATTTTTTTATTTCTGCCAGTATTTCGTCATCAGCGGGGTTCGTCAGAGGTGGCAAATCTTCAGGATCCAATATACCTTGTTCTACTAACTCTTTTCTTAGACATTTTTCTAATGTTAGGGAATTCTTATAGCTACTCTTAGTGTTTGTTGTCTGTTTGACTTTAATGTCAGGCACTTCATAGTTCATCAAATTTTCTTCCATAAGTGCTGATACCAATCTTTGGGTCAATGGACCAGTTATCAAATTTTCATTTGATTTTTCAAGTTTCTTACGAATATTAGAAGCTTCAGGAGACATTGATGATTTCTGTTTATTTGGATTGGAAGCATTCTGATCCTCAGCGAGATGTTCATCAGCCCATACTTCAGAGTAGTGACGGCCCAGTGGTGGTATTGGTGGGAGTGTAGTGTTGCTGCTCTGAGCTAACAAAGACTCCAAAAATTTTATATCATCTAATGTAACAGGAGCACAATAAGGATCAACCGAGCTCCAGAATTTATATGGAATATTATTCTTTGGCAGTGCAAATTGTGATAGTTCCAGTTTTACTGAATTGTCTGAATTAGCTACATCATTAGTGTAATTGTGAGATCCACCTGAAGAGGCATTCGACATATTTTTGAACTTAGGCACTTTAGGCTGGTTCGACAACTTGGTGCTATTGGTTTTCACTAATTTATCATCTGGAAACTTTCTTTTCACAGGATACTGTAGTTGTTTGCCAGCAGCTTTACCTTTCTTTTCCCTCTTGGACTCATTTGTGTCAATACTCTCAATTTCAGACTGAAAATATCTTATACGAAGAGCTGTATTACCCAAAAGAGACTCAAGCTCTAGTTGTAGAGAATCCAATTCGTCCATCCCGATAGGTTCATCTGCAGACCTTGCTGCGATGGCTGTGAAGCGAGGTAGGTGTACAGCATTATCTTGTATCTTTATATAAGGGATTGGGCATAACTCTACTTTAGTTTTCCCAGCTGATACAGCACCTGGTATTTTAGCTGGTTTGTTATAAGGTGAAATACCTGGGCTTGAAGGTTTACCATTATCGTGGCCTTTGCTTGCTAGTCTTCCTTTGCTATTATGGTTCATCCTCTTTCCTAACATGTTGTTACAATCAAATTTACCCGCGAAAACAGTTGCACATAAACATAACAAGCGTCAACGTCTTTACAATTACACATACAACAATTGTCCAATCTTATTTGTATTACATACAGGCACAATTCGGTATTGAGGTTACACTTGAAGTATTTAATTTACACAGTAAAGAAATAATTAACACGAATAAATAAAAATCGCTACCATTAAAAAATCACGACGACAAAATGGCGACCTTAGTTAGTCAATAATGTTGCCATAACAAATAACACACAAGTGTACAAGTCCAAAGGAGATTGTAATATAAAATAATTGATTAACTACCTCTTATTAAAGTCGTAAAGATCATTCAAGTATATTTGATGCCATAAAAGATAATGGTACAAACTATGGTACTAAATAAGCTGTTATTATTTTTTACAAAGAACTTTGAAAGTATTGATTACATTCTTTTTAGCGACTTGCAACAACTGTTTCGGTTATTTACAAAGTTAGGTGCGGTTAACAATTTATTTCAATTCGAATTCATTATTTAGAAAAAAACGAACCATCTTCATATTTAAATGATTACTTTTATTAGGCGACATATATTTATTTTTTATGATAAGGAAACATTTTTCTAAGGTCATTGAAAGAAGCATTTATTTTTATAAAATTCATCTCTTTCTGAACTTCGTCAACACATTAGTAATGTCAGTTTTGACAAAAATGGTGCGTTGTGCGTTTGGTGCTTTCTTCACGTTTAACAAATTAGTGTGAAGTTCTTCTGATTAAATGTGGTTTTGTGTTGAGAATTTAGATACAAACTGAATGTAGCACTTATATGAGATTGAATGAAAGTGATATGTTTATTGTTTACCAAATAAAGCACTGTTTGTTATCAACAATGATAGGCGTCTGGATGCTATAAGGGCGTTAAACTAATATATTATTAGTATAATAATGGAAGGCCAGCCGCTGAATTGTCCCCTTTGTTGCAATGCTACATTTAGTTCTAAACAGTCTTTGGTAGAACATTTATCAAATTCTTTGAGTATCATAAGCTGCCCTCTCTGTAACCATAAAAGTCCCTCCCTGCCACACCTTATTGATCATTTGTCTCAAGAAAGCTGCCAGTCCGACAGTAATGTACTAAATAATATAAATGTACAAAGTATAATATTTGAGCACAGCACTGAGGACAATATTGAAAACTCTACAGATATAGGAAACTCTGATATTAAAGTATATGAAAATGGTAAGGGTGTGTCTGTCATAACATAATACTCAGTATCAGTGCATTAGCTTTGATAAACAGTTGCAGTGTTTGTCCTTATGATGTGGGTTCAATTCCCACATTTAAATTCATTCTATTGTCATTAGGTTTTGGATCTACAAATACCTAATACAGCAACCTCATCTATTGTATTTGTTGCTTATGTAGATAATATAAAAAAAATATAGATATGTTGGTATCCTTAGGCAAGTATATTCTATATTTTCAAGAATATACATTTAGGTTTTCTAAAAAAAATAATATTATAGTTTATCAAACTCTAGTCCTAGTTTGATGTTGCGAGTTCAATGCAGTTTTTTTAAAACTGTGCAGTGAAAAGTGAAAATATATTTAAATTGTATGTGTAGAATATATTGATATATATATTATATATATTTAATTTAATTTAGAAACCTATGTCCAATTAAATACAGTTCAATTTTGGCTTTGCTAATAGTTCAATTAGCAATAATTATATGTCAAGTAAGGTGTCTCCAGTTAGATGGCAAATCGGACTGTTATCCAGCTTCTTTGAAAATTCTCTATATGCAATACAGTGGGTTTGCAAATATTGACATTTCTTTTTATTGAGCGGCCCACTGAAAGCTCCGTGTTGCATCACATTACGGATCTTTATGAAATAATAAGATGATATTACAATGTTACATTGTACCTATTTACAGAAATCAGCACCAATTCAGATCATCAATTAGATGCAAATGAAGCTAACAAAATGTATGTGGAACTGTTCACGAAACAGATGAAACCATGTTTAGAGACGAGAGAACTGAAGTTAATAAAGGAGAATGGAGAGAACCGTTACATGATCGTAACACAAGATGATGCGGACTTGAGCGCAGGAAACACTATTGTTACTAAAAATACTGACGGCACTATATCTTTGACTACTGTAAAAGGTATAATATTTAATAAGCAAATATTACATTACATCATTAGAGCCACCATCTGATTCTATCTGAGCCAAGATGATGATTAGGTTATCTGTTAGATCTGGTTCATTCAGTATTAATACTAAAATAAAATAAACAACAAAAAAGAAAATGCTTTATATTTTATTCATGAAAGATGCTAGCTGTAACATAACAGATAGTAAGTCGATAGATCAATAATTATTTTACAGCCTTACTTGAGGCTTGAAACTCAAAATATGGTGGTCATACTTCCTTGTTCAAATCTTGTAACAAAACATGTAACTTTCAGACATGGAGATGGAGACAGATGCTATGATGGCCACCGACACAATGCCAGATGAAACTCAGGAGGAGATCTACAGCTGCAACACTTGCAAAGTGTCCTTCACCTCTGTCATAGAACATATACAGAACTACCACAATGATCAGGAAGTTGTTGTAGAGGTAAGGTGCTTACATGATATCTAAATTCTTCTTTCTATTCAACATTGTGATCATCATTATCTTAAATATCTCACAGAACATCCACTGCTGAACATACCACACTTTTCCAAATGGGTTCATCAATGGATAATGTGTACCTCATAGTTATTAGTTGATAAACATTGATTCTTTTATTATATCAAAGTGAATTGTGTATGTATCCTATATATATAATAGAATTTTCCCCCATGTTGATGCTTTCATCCGATCAAAAACTGCAATCTTAATAAAATAGATAGTCTGAATATTTGCAGGAACCTATCGATCAAACCGAGAATCATACTGAGAGCACCCCTTTAGATTATGAGCCAATGGACGGCGAAGACCCGTTGGTGACTCCGGATAAACAGACTCCTCGACGCGTCATCACCGACACTGGCGACATAGTCGAAGAGCCGATGCTGTTCAAAACTGATGCCCAAATCGTCACGGATACTCTGGATTTGGGTAATGTACCTATTTTTATAATTAACTAGCTACTTCCGCGCGGTTTCACACGCTCTGCTCAGCTCCTATTGATCGTAGTGTGATGTTTTTTAGCCTATAGTCATCCTCGATAAATGCGCTATCCAACACAAAAAGAATTATTCAAATCAGACTCAGATTAGCGCGTTCAAACAAACAAACTGTTCTGCTTTATATAATAGTATAAGATAATCGTTTGTTAAACTATAAGCGACACATTATTACGAAATCGGGTCGCCGACTAAGCACCTATTTAGCACCCTGTTACTAGGCGTAGTATTTCCATGAAGTAAAAACTAATAGAAGTCTTGTAATGTGTAACTGTTTGAACTTTGCAGGTGCAGATCACGAAACTATCAAGGCGGAGCAGACGGAACAAGTTGGTGTTTTAACAAAACGATACATACAAGTCAACACGATGTCCGGCGGCGTCATCAAAGATATCGGCCAAGTGAATGAGAATGGTAATATTTATTTCGAAATCATTTCATTACTTTTTGCATAAGATCTGTGCAGTTGCAGAGTCCGTAAGCCTTATGAACAAGAACAACAGACCTTACACACCCAAGTTCAATGGAATATTTTTTCCAGTTGTTATTGAATTTGTATTCAATTTACAGAAGATGACAAAGACTCCACCATCATAGAACATAAGGACATTGTTGTCACAAGGCGCTACATACCAGTCGACAAAGGCGCCTTAAAAGATCCCATACAGACTGATGCGAAAGGTAAAATCAACATCTTATTAATTAACAAAAAACAACTGTATTGTTGTTGAAATAATGTTCATTTTAATGAAGTTTAAGTCATTAGAAGGACTTGAAAACTAGAGTATTAATTCAGTATTTTAGTTGTGTTCCTTTTAAGTTGGTTTTAAGTTAAGAGAACCATCATTCAATGTAAATGACAAATATTTTTAACTTTCATGCAGGCAATGCGATAGATATAGGTAAGTACGTTTAGTGTGCAATAAGACACTACAGTGACGTTTTCCGAGTTATAATGTACTTTCTAAAATTATTTAGACACCACTGACGAATGGTGCAGGAAAACGTCGTGAGGAAACCTGGGCTTATTTCTTATTATATGTATGAGCAAACGTGGTGATTAATGATTAAACCTTATCCGTGTAGATGCCTTGGTCAGCAGTGGCCACTTACAGGCTATTGATGTGTGTTGTGAAGACACTAAAATATTTTGTGGAAATTATATGAAGCCTTATTTAGCCTGCCTCGTTGGTCGATTGTTTGCTGGTCTCTGGTTTGATTCAGTAAAGTGTTATTTGGTTTTCTCGATTTGGATATGTTATGGTGTTTGGTAACAGGCTCGCTCCATATTACATTCGGACTTCACAAAACACTTTAAAACTATAATACATCAGAAAATGTAGGTATTTGTACTTACACAGTAGAGAAATTGTCAGTGTGATATACTAGTGATGGTAAAAAGAACATCACCAGTTTAGAACCATTTTCTACACTAGCGCCTCTATCGGCGTTTGCAAGAGAAAACTTTTTTTTGTTAGGTATACTTTCTTCTACAATATCTTTGAAACAGTATCTTCTGAAACATGATGGCAGTATATTTTTTGATACAGATAAAATAGGTCAGTTCCACAAGGTGGTTGTCAAAGAAGTTCCAACTGACTGCGGGTTCGCGCTCAAAACGTATCAGTGCTTAGCTTGCGACATTTCCGTCACTAATTTGGATGAATTCAAAATCCATCCATGTAAAATATGTGAGTATATTGATGTTTTCTATGCCTCAGCGCTTATATTCACTACTAACAGTTGCCCATGAGTTCGCTCCCATTGATTTATCTCCCTGTTTAATATCGCTAATCTCACATCTATCTCCTTACCAAATTCCGTCATAATCGGTTCTGCGGTTGTGGTGTAAATGCAAAACTAACTACTTTATCATTTATTATTATGGATTTCGTTCCAATTTCTGGACGTCTTCAGTTTTTTACAAGAAATAAGTGATTTGTGCCAATATTCTTCTTAATTATGCGCCTGACGTTAGTCAGACTTTCTTTATCGAGTAAGATAAAGAGTTTTTTTTTCTACTACTATTTTTTTATAGTAACTAAATAACTATACTTGTTTCTGGCTGAAAAGCTGGCGATAAAACATTTTAAAGATTTTTTGTTTTGTTAATTTTATTTATTTTTTTTAGTAAAATATCCGTGTCCCTATTGTCCCGTGGCGTATGAGAACTACAAATCTCTCTGTGCTCATATGAAAGCACATAAAGCTAAAACAGGTAGGTACACATTTTTTTTTAATTCCTATGAGGGGAGGAAATTAGTATGATTCCATGTAATTAGTAGTTGTGGCTATTACCAAACACCAAGTATAAGGTTCGTATATTCGTACAATGTTTCAAAATTCTAAAAACCCTAGTATTTATTTACGATGTGAAGATCAAACTCGAGGGATGCAGAATCTTATGGCTGAGAGGCATATATGAACACAAGTTCAAACTATTGACCAACAGATGCAGAGTTTTACTATTAATTTTTTAATACGAGTTCAGTTCCAACGACAATGACAACAAGTACATTGTTATATGTTAATTTTCAATTGTTTATGTTTATTGATTTTTATAGAGCAACATGCCCTGCCTGTGTCATACGAATGTGGAATATGCAACACTGTGTTCCTGACAAACAAGTCCTTGAAACTACACAAACGAATGCACGACCCTATCAAGTAAGTACGCTTTGAATTAAATGATATTCAATATGGAATGTCTACATTCTTCTTCAGTTAGTTCACGAAAAAGATGATAATTATGGTGCTTATGTTGAAAATAGCCGTTAAAGTCGGCAAACAAGCAGACGGATCACCTAATGGTAAGCTATCGGCGCCGCCTATGGGCACACTCATGTGATGTGACACCCACCACCATGATGATGTGTGATTTCCCTCTCTAATTTTTGAGAAGATTTACATAATATTTTATTATTATGTAGCATGTTGCATCTAATACTTAATTGTCTACTCTTCCTAAAAATATCTTATCACTACATAGTATAAAACAAAGTCGCTTTCTCTGTCCCTATGTCCATTTGTATGCTTAAATCTTTGAAACTACGCAACGGATTATGATGCGTTTTTTTTAATAGAGTTCAAGAGGAAGGTTTATATGTATAATACATACATATTGCGCCCGTGCGAAGCCGGGGCGGGTCGCTAGTACACAATATTCTGGAAGCTGGTGTTTATATGAATCTATTCAATCTTTAACAGGAGTCGTGCCATAGAGCCTCCAGTAGAGAACACAGACGGTACCAAAGTAAGTAAAGCGACATATCGCTGTACTATCTGCAACAAAATGATCCCCTGCGACTACAAGGCCATACACCAGAACTCGCACAAGACTTCAGAGAAAATGAACTGCGGCATCTGCAATAAGAAGTTCACGTCTTTGGAATATTTAGAAATGCATACCAGTGTACATAATGTGGATAAAGTGAGTATGGTTCTGTTTATATTGTTTTTGAAAATTGAACTTTGTTGTATAGGATGTAAAGTTAAATCTTGTGTAGGGAAGTTCCTGTACCTATTGCTCAAAGAAGATTTATTTTATAGTGATACTTCTTTCACTTGTGAGTCAAGCAATATAGTTTCAGACATGAATAAAATAATAACTTTCCAATATTTAAACTGTAGGGAAACTGGCATTTGTGAACGACAGAGAACTGGAGTGGACTGATTATCTATCAGCGGCCTATAGAAGTTTATATTTTCAGACTCCAATAAACAACCAAGATCAGAACCTGCCATACAACTGTTTGTATTGCAACAGAAGGTTCGCCAGGCCACACGAGAAAGTTAAACATGAGAGGATACATACAGGTAAATTCAACACAATTATTATTATTATTTATACCCACAGATTATGATGTTAGTAACATAGTCCTGAGAGGATGTCGTTGTTTTACCTATAACCCTATATATTTCACTGTATAACCTCTTATTAACTTAAACAGCCATTAAAACATAACATTCCTTTTATGCTCTAAAGGTAAACATAATATAAGATATACACCTAAAATTGGTCAGTTGTAAGTCTCCCATGTAATAGAGGGTGAGCCGTTAGCCATACTCTGGTAGGAATGTAAACTCTGTGCTATTATAATAGCGTAGATGCCTAATTTTTATTTTAATGTCCGTCTGTTAGATTATTTTAAATCATTACTCACGTATTTTTTATTTTCTTACAGAAACGAATACTTTCGACGATATATTGATTTGAAATGTCGCGTGACGTCACTTCTATGAACATTTTATACGTAGAAATGATGTTTTAGTCCCTATTCCTAAACTTTGATTCGTTTTATCTAAGTATTGTTTTATTATAAAACAAAATAAAAAAAATACGTGTCTAATATTTTTTCATTACCTAACTTATGGACTAATTAGATTTTTAATTTTCATACCCTGTCATCATCCCTATTTACATTTTGAAAAACTTAATTCCAATAGACCTATTGTGAGTGCTATATAGTTATATTTCCGTGTGGTATACAGGAGAGAAGCCCCACTCGTGTGAGATCTGTGGCAAGTCGTTCCGCGTGTCGTACTGTCTCACTCTACACATGCGCACGCACACCGGCGCCAGGCCCTACGCCTGCCCACACTGCGGGAAGAGGTGACAATATTACTTTAATATAATTTACTCGTTTCTTTATGAACAGCATCCATTTACAAAGGCTAACATTGGTTCTCGTCACGTTAAACTGTATGTTTTTATGGGGATAAGTTAATAAACGAGCAGACGGATCACCTGATGGTAAGCAATGGTACCGCCTATAGACACCCGAAACAACAGAGGCGTTACAGGTGCGTTGCTAGCCTTCTGGGGATTCAGAATTTAAAGATTAATGGGCCTCCGGTAACCTCACACTATGAAACACAACGCAAACGTCGTTTCACGTCAAAAGTATTTCTTAATTGGTGTTTACCTGTTTACTCACGTTATCATAACACATAAGTATTTCTTATTGAATGACTAACCGTCTTCTCGAATGGAAGCCTACAAGGTGGACCGAACACCTGGGTGCTTACTCTTGAAACCAATCTCAATGAAATTTCAATCCAATAAAATCGCAATAATTATTCTATGTCAAAACTATACAACCCCTATCGTAGCTGTTAAAATAGCATTCAAAGTACGTAATATACAACCAAACTCAATACCATTTAGTTCCTTCAATATCCACGTAATATGCAACTAGTGCGCTAGTACCTAATATGGCGCTAGTGTTGCAACTCAAGAGTACGAAATTTCACAATACCAATGTTGGTCGATCGGAATTGGATTCAAGAGTAAGCCCCAGCAGGAATCTGCTGGATGCAGGTCGCTTTCAACCGAGTGATCTGGAACTCATTTTGTGAGTTACCCTATGTTCACTAGCAAGTGTCTTATGGCTGATATGATAATGGACTGCACGGTTGGTGCGGTGGCTGGGCAACCGGCTGCCGTGCAACGTGTCGCGGTTCGATTCCCGCACGGAACAACACTTTGTGTGATCCACAAATTGTTGCTGCGGGTCTGAGTGTAATTGTGTATGCGAACTTGTATGTTTGCAAACGCACCCACGATATAGGAGAAAATCCTAATGTAGGTAATCTTCCTAATGTTTTCTTTAATATAATTATTTGTTCGTTACCCAGGTTCAAGGCGCACAGTGTATACAACCACCACTTACTGACTCACTCTGAAGTCCGTGCTTACAAGTGCCCATTCTGCCCGAAGGCCTTCAAGACCTCCGTCCAACTGGCTGGACATAAGAACTCACACACTAAACCTTTCCAATGCCAGCATTGTAACAGGTGACAACAATATAAAATACCTACTTAATTGAATAAAGTTTTACAATGTGTCGATAGATGGCGCTGTAAACAATTCTTTATTGTGCCATTATTATTTTTTTCAAACTGCTTGTAGAAGTACCAAATACTTAAAATTAAACATGTTTTCCTTTATCAGGCCATTCGCATCACTCTACGCGGTACGAGTGCACACCGAAACACATTCGCGACAGAACAACCTGAAGTTCGTATGTGATATGTGTGGAGCGAGCTACGCTCGAGCCTTCGCCCTCAAGGACCATATCAAACAGGCGCACAGCCAGGATCAGGAATCTGAAGCGTCACCGTCACCGTCACGTAGCGTGAGTTTTATGCTTTGTAAGAGCCACCGCTACTCACCGAGTATAGGGACCTCTTAGTCGCTGCCAAACGCTCCCTGATAAATCTGCACGTTTTAAACTCCGATCTGAAACTCTGCACGGGTGGAGATTATGGAAAACTTTTGTAGAACAGACCTGTGGTCCAGCGGTTGGTTGTTATGGGGCTGTTGTTGATGATGATGTTTAACGTAAGTAAAGAAGAATATATCGGCACGAATGGGCCGGCTCGACCGGAGTGATACCACGGCCTCACAGAAAACCGACGTGAAACATTACTTGCGTTGTGTTTCGTCGTGTGAGTGAGGTTCCTAATCGCCAAAAGGCCGGTAACGCAGTTGTAACACCTCTGGTGTTTCGGGTGTCCATGAGCGGCGCCGATTGCTAACCATTTTGTGATCCGTCAGCTCGTTTATCCGCTTATTCCATAAAATCCGCCGAATGCAGTCTCGTTTCGACTACTTTTAACGTAAAACAAACTGGTACTAAGGCCTCTGAAGAGGTCGGCATAGATATAATATGTTACACCCACTTTTCATTCCATTCCATTCCTTTCTTTCCTCATTTATAGGTGAATGAGCATATTACCAAATACCAAGCTCTACTCCAGACTTCGTGCTATTACTGTGTACTTACTGAAGATTTAACATGCACGATGTCGTGCATAAGAATAAAATACAATTAGCCTGATTTTGTTTAAAAATCGATTAAATCGATTCTCTGCCACTTCAATACAACATCAATAAAATTATTTTCTTACGTTACTAACTAACTGTTGAGTACTTATAATGCACAAATGTAATACACTGTCTGTTCCTCCATCTTTCCTTTTTATTATTATATTTAATGGCAGCGCGCCACGGCCATAGAGGTCAAGTTCAGTTTACGTGCCGGCCGGTTAATCACAGGCGCCAAATTGAAATTATTCAAAAATCAAAGTGTTCGAATTTTGGATATAAAAAAAATAATGCTTTACTAAATTATTTTCCAGCCTTCGTATGTTTTTACAATAAAATTGTTGCAATATAAATACATCATCAAACACCGTAAATTACAGATTTCAGTATGATTATTTTTTAAAGATCTTCTCTTTCTGTTTGTCTTACACACTTCGAGAACCAAAACGAATAAGCAATGGTTATAATGCCGCAATACACCATCTTTGTGTTTGTTTATTTTTATTTTGGCGACATTAGAATTAGTGATACCCTTTACAGATACCGGCTGATGAAGATTGGATGATAAAACACAACCCTGATTCGCTCAACAAAGATTTAACACATGAAGTAAGTTATTTTTGTTTCGTTCTAAATTACCATCAGAATAAATTGGCATTCTTTATTTTATTTTTCAACTGTTTGCCCAATTCTGGAAGTCTCGATAGTGGTAACGACAGAAATCATTCCCTTCGTCCAATTTTTTATTAGTAGAACTTTATTTTGAGATAATATCGTTAACTAATCTTAAGATTCATAACTTACTAATTACTCAGAGAAATTAGTAAAATTTTCTATGGCGCAAAAGTAACGATAGCCTTCTCAAACCTCATTTGGGTACCAGCGTGATATTTTTCTATACTATGACACGATCACCATGCATAGTAACATTCACACAAAACATGATTTTAAATAATAGAAATACTTTTATTAGTCGATAGTGTTACGACATTCTTTGTTCGAGCAAAGTTCTATTACATCATCAGCTTACAAATGCCCACTGCCTCTTCTCACACGGAGAAGAGTTGAGCATTAATCACCACGCTTGCTCAATTCGGGTTGGCGATTTCAAACTAATAATTAGAAATTATAAGAGTTGAGGGCTTACTCTTGAATCCAATTCCGATCGATCGACATTGGTAATGTGATATTTCGTACTCTTGAGTTTAACAATAACGCCCATTGCATCCGTATTGCGTGGATATTGAATGAACTAAATGGTATTGAGTTTAGCTTCATATTCCGTACTCTGAATGCTATTTTAACAGCTACAATAGGGGTTGTTTAGTTTTGACATTGAATAATTATTGAGTTTTCATTGGATTGCAATTACATTGACATTGAGATTGGTTTCAAGAGTAAGCACCCAGGTTTCCTTACTATGTTTTTCTTCACCATTTGTCAGTGGTGTCTGAATAATCTTAGAAAATACATATAACTCTGAAAAAGTCACATTGGTGCTTGCCTTTTGGTAGATTTCGAACCCGCACTTCAATGCATGAGTAGCGGGCGTCTTAAAAAAATTCTATTGGGTTTTTCATTTTTGAGATTCTCAATAATGCTCATTTTGAACTGAGCTTTATGTTTTATTCCCACAAGGAACTTATAGCTGATGAAATGTGGGTATTATTATAAATAGGAAAATGTTTTTTAACTTGTTGAGGAAATTAGGTACTTACTAACAGTAACGGTGACAGGTTTTAATACATCTTAAATATGTAGATAAGATGATAATTTCAAGTGTATTTCTTGACTGTAAAAACTGTTTTAAATTTATGTATGCATATGTATTATGTATGTTTTATGTAAACAATTTCTTGTTTCAGATAGACCTGGGAATGAGTGGTATGAGTAGCAACGAACTAATAGTTCCTTAAAGCAACAATAATATAATAATATATTATAATTATTTCTTAGGTGAAAATAAATCAACTTTTATAAAACGATATTGTAAACACGACGTTATTGTGATTCTACAAAGTACACTAAACAAAACAAAAAAGGATATACTGTACTTATACGGTTCAAATATAACTCGCCTTTTTGTAGTCGGTATTAAAATGTATACTTTTTTTAGCACTATGCCTCGGTAGTTACAGTAAAGGTGTCATATTGGTGTAATTGTGTTATATTGCAAGCTTAACATAACATAACATCACGCTTTTTATCCCCGAAGGGGTAGGCAGAGATGCACGTTACACCACTGTACAATGTAATACCCACTTTTCACTATTTATGTTATGAGTCCCATGTAATAGGGGGTGAGCCTATTGCAAGCTTAAAACAATACAATATAAAAGAATAAGGACCATATTCTTTTTAATCAAGAAGTTGAAGAATCACAATAAATTACTTACAGCAGCAGGTAAGTACAATAATGTTAGTCATTTTATCATAGTTAGGGCGATTATTATTTGGTTTACCTCGCTCAAATCCGATGAGTCACTAGGAAATAATGGCTAATCCGGGAGCCATTTACGAAATAAAGAACTTACTAGAAGCTTTTGTTATCAAGGTAACCGATGTTTACCGGGTATTATGAGTATTATGACTCTTATCCGTTTAACTTTCTCCTAATTTGTATAAATACTAAGCGTATTTAAATTGCTCTCGTTGGCAAAAAAGACTGCCTTGTTGGCCGAGTGGTTGCAAGTGTGACTGCCGGGCAAGGGGTCTCGGGTTCGATTCCCAGGCCGGCAAAGAATTACAGGGTTTAAAAAAAACTTGTTGTATATATACCGATATGGTAGTAGGCTCACCCTCTATTACATGGGATTCATAACATAAATAGTGAAAAGTGGGTGTTACATTGTACTTACAGTTACAGTGGCATTAAGTTCGTGCGTAATATGCACCTCTGCCTACTTTTTCGGGGATAAAAGGCGTGATGTTATGTTATGTATTTATTTAAATTAATCCAATTCAAGTATTGTAGGCGTCACAAAATCCTTTTAAACGCAATAGAAATGGTGTAGTAATAATTGTAGAATCACAATAACACTAATTAGTGATATAGATATAGATACCAATAGGTCTTAGTTGAACGCAATAGAGTTCAATTTGATACTATACACTATGTCCGTTTTGGTTAGTCCAAAGTGATATGTTGAAGGGAATTTACGGCGAGTCCGAGCAACTAATAAAATTATATGTAAGTAGCGAACTAATTTGTAGATATAGAGATTAATTAGACATATTAGAACTTCATACTAAACATTTGTAAGTGTATCTAAGCACATGGGAATTATTAGTATAAATTTTCATTACATTTTGTCTGGATTGCACTGTTAAAAAATACTGCCCAATCTTTTATTGTACTTGTTATTTGTCTAAGACTGTCTACTGGTAGAAATCGACGTTAATAGGGATGATGACGAGGTATGAAAATTAAAAATCGAGGTAGTCCGTCAGTTAGGTAATGAAAAAATATTAGACACGTATCTTTTTATTTTGTCATATAAGAAAACAATACTTAGATAAAACGACTCAAAGTAAGAAGTGGGAGGTAAACGTCATTTTGTACGTAAATACGTTTCGTAAGTACGTATAAAACAGCCCTAGAAGTGACGTCACGCGATGTTTCAAATCAATATAATTATTGTAGAAAGTATTTGTTTCTGTAAGGAATTAAAAAAATACGTGTCTAATGTTTGAAAATATTCTACCAGACGGACATTGAAATAAAAATTAGTCATCTACCCTATTGCCATGTATGTTCATGGTATAATATAAGACACAGTAAAATACCATATTCTGTGCTTATATTTTTGTTTATTAGGATTTACTTCGAATACAAATGTTTGTATGTTTATTTCTCTATTATACAAAAACTGTTAAATGGATGTAGATGCAATCTACCAATGTCTACCATGTTGATAGACTATCGTTTTATCCTGCCTCGACCCGTGAACGTGGTGCTTTTTTGTTTGATGAAAATACCACGCGTATCAGTGTGTTATTTAAAATTATTTAAAGTATTATATTTGTCAGCAATTCAGAAGGATAAATGGAATAATATATTGTCTGTAGTCACTAAGTGATAGCCAACTATAGAAATCGTTATTAGATAATGATAATTCTTAATAATTACTAAAATCTATCATGTTATTTAAGACATCTCGAAGCTCAAATGCATGCCATTTTACAGGACTGAATGGCGATTATAGATTTTCAAAAAACTTATCTTCGCATTGATCAAATTTTAATTATGATTTTCGATAGTATCGTAATGTGGGTTATGACGCTCTGTGGTACTTTTTTTACATATTTGGTATTAGATTTACCCGGGCGGGTACCGTAACGCGCGGAGATCTATTGGCCCTCCTAGCCTTTTCACATTAGTTATTAGTTATTAACCTCCCGGGGTCATGGGTAGAGCCATATAGGTAAGAGTCTGATTCTCCCTCACGCTTGACTCACGGCGGGAGTCGTTTATTTTTCACCCAAAACAAGGGTCCTTATACGCTCCGGTTGTCGGATACCCGGTGCTAAGTTTTGTACCCAGGCCTTTTCCCAGCTACGTTTCGCTCATAGTATCTAATATGACAATACAAATTACGTACAGGAAAATGTATATGATTGTAGGAATAATAATGAAGAGGCTATATCAATCTAGGTTCAAGAGTACCTACTGTTGATGGATAAAAAATAGAATCTCAATTTAAAAACTTAGTTATTAGTATTTTAGCTAATTTTGTAACATGTAAGTGTAACTAAAAGAACTCAAAATTACAATTACTTTCTGAAGTATCAACGAAGGTGTTAGGTATTTGACCTTAGAACAACAATTTTGCTATGTTTTATAAATTGAAATGAATTTAACAAAATGATATACTAAGGAATATTGGACCTTAGAGTTTTCTAGAAATTATGCACAGCATAAACCACTACTGAATGATGAGCTGTAATTATAATAATTAAGAATTAACACAATAATAACACTGGGTCACTATTTTATGATATAGTGCAATGTTTTTCTTTTTTCTTTAATTGACAACTTCTCTTCTCTTTAAAGAAAATAAATCTATTACATACATATCTAGATGCTTGGAATAGAATTTAAACTACTAAAGTTTTTCAAATACCTATCTAATATTCTAGAACTATCTGTAATTGTAATGTAATGTAATCCCTTCTATTTTTAACATTCTTGACATTTGTATATTTTAGAGAATATAAATAAATGATATGCAGTTATTATTTTTACTGATTTATTTAGTAATTGTTTATTGTAAATATGTATGTATGTGCTGTTGTATGTTGTTGTAAATAATGGTAATATGAGACAATACGGTGTGTGATGTCTTTACGCACATTAGGGAAAATGTTATTGCGTTTATAAGCTTGTTGTATATTTTATAAATACCAATTAAACCGACCATGTTTATATTATAATTGTAATACCAGAATCAAATGTCAGTATCATGGTAATTTGCGTGCTATTGATGTTCTAATACAGCGTAATACAGCGAAATGAAAATGCACATACAATTTTATATGAAGTAATTTTTATTGGAAGTTTAATCAAATATCATAGAAATGACACATTGTTGTCGCATGGCACTCAAGTTTTTGGTATACAGCTGTATGTATTGTTGCCACTACAATTTTAATCAAATAAATCATTAATTCTAAATATCGTCTTTGTTTTACACTTAATATAAATTATTATCAACAGTTAATGCCTACATATAACCAGCTTAAGGTATATGCATACCGTAATCCGTAATCCACTTAATTAACTATCACATATTCAATTTACTAATACTAATTAATAAGTAATTTGTTCACCATTTACACATCACTTGACACAGCATCAATAATACCTACAATGGAATAATATAAGCGTCTTTTCAGTTTCACTAGGGGTACACTGTAACTAGTGTATCACGTCTGTCCGTGAGTCCACTCTCCCTCCATCCTCCACACGGAGAAGGCATAACTCAGTTTGTCCTGTGCGAGGTACTTGCCGTGCTCACTGCCCGCGTCGCTGTTACTGTCGCTGCTACCCGCCGACTCACTGTTTGACAATATTTGATACAGGAATTCTATGTACTGCGTCGCCAGCTGCAGAGT